TTTTCGAGCATGCATCGAGACATTCACAAGTGTTTTTTGGTTAAGTATTTTGTTCGCTGTGTGAAAACAAACTAAATTACGTGGAAAAGCTATACAAGCTTATTAACTGAGTCGGGCTACAGTAAAAACGCCCTTAGTTTTCATGGCTCTGATATTCTCTGCATCAATGCATGCAGTTGTCCTTCCTTCCGTGTTTCAGTAAAAAAAAAAGAAAAGAGAGAAGAGAAATCTGCCTCAAATGCCTATGATATCTTCCACAAGCGTAAACTAAGATTTACAAATGTGTACAATGATTTGGGTGTAACCTTTAAGGACAGACAAGCGCCTGCTTCACTCCACACACAAATCCACAGAAATCTGAAGACACGTTAAACTGTTTTACGGATTTGAAACCCTTTTAAGGCATATTTCCCTCCATAGAACATTGAATAAATATCTCAATTTCAAACACACCAGCACACAAGAGCATACAAACAAACAAAGCTATACTACAAAGTACACTCAATACTAAATGTAACAGAAGTGTGAATCAGTACCTCAGCGAAGTAAAGATGCAAATGTTTCTTGCCAATAAACTGAAGATTCCCGAGGAGAGGTAAAGCAAAAGGTCCAGGCGGAAAATTTCTTGGATTCCTGTTTTTGAAGTAGTATGCGATCAAAAGGATAAAGAAAAATGAAAGTAAAATCCCCTCAGTGCTCAGCACAAAATTGGAAAACCACATCGTTACAGAGAGCGAAGACGTGAGCAGTACACCATCTGTATTATGTGCGTCCTCGCGGATGCCAGAGGGTTTTATAACAACACGCCTGGTTAACTCCTTTTGTTAAGTAGAATTTCAGGACAGACCAGTCGTCACAAAGTTTATATATGAGCTTTATCTGTAAACAAAGGTGAATGTGATGTAGTCAGTAGCGGTCCTAATTGTTTGGCGCCCTGGGCGAACACTCCCTCTGGCGCCCCTCCCACACACACAAAACATATTAAGGATTGTACATTAACATAAAACTGTTGTACACACACACACACACACATATGAAGAGAGAGAGAGTATGCATAGTATGCAAACGGCTACCAAACAGCCATCATAATTTGTCATACAATGAGAACAGCACAAATCAACAATTGACATTGAATTAATATTAAAATCTGTAACATAATGTATTGTTTGGAGTTTAGTCTGTTACTGTTGCTATTTTTACCATTTCTTCTTGGAGCAACTGTAACTCACATTATTTCCTTAGGGATTAATAAAGTATTCTGATTCTGATTGTTTCAGGATGACGTGCCATTATCCAATGACACATCTGCTTACCTGCATCTTTTGCTCGTTTCTCCTCCTCTTCTTTTCTACTTTTTTCTAAACTGAGCACCTGATGGCTTTGAACTTTTCTTGTCCATCTTCCACTGGTTTTAATTTTGCACTCTAGTATGAACACAAATCCCCCAACATAGCCTAACAGACCTACACCTTAGTTCACAGATTCTCTTTGTCTAAGGTTTATTTCTGAGATTTCACACAACCCAGGATTCAAATCATGAATACATAATGGGCTTGGATTTACAACATTATAAATGAAATGTGCTCTATTTGGAAGCAGCAGGGCCCCTCCCCTTTCGACGGGTTGTGTGTGAGACTTTAAATCATCAAACTGTAAATTTTAAATTGTTATTGAGCCCTTTACTCCTAGTCCTAAAGTGTATATCTATTTTCTTACTCTTCTTATATTTATTGTTTGTTTACTTGCACTGCTGTAATTAGAGCCTCGTCGTCTCGTCTTTCTACATACTGGACTGTATGTAGCGGAGATGACAATAAAGTTTACTTTGACTTCAGCAGCAAGCAGGCGCAACGAGGGCTCTCGCGCTCTCGCGCTCTCGCGCTCACTTTTCGCATATAGAATTTCGAAAAAACATCGACATTTCTGCAGTTTAACTAATTGGTGTGTGTTATCTGGCTTCATGGACAGACGAGGCCAGTCTTTATTTTGAAAAATTCTGGTCAACATAATTAGCCTTTGACTCAGGACTAAAGTGTCTACCCTATAACTGGTGTGTTATATTGAAATCTGTGATGAGATATTATGTGACACAATTATGTGTCACATAATATGTAAATTATGTATAATGTGATTACTTATTATTATTTATTATGAACTGAATGCGAGCAAAACCAAAGAGATGCTTTTGACCTTCTCCAGTAGGCAGAGGGATCTGGCTGCTTCAGTCACCACTACCATCCATGGGAAGCCAGTGGAGGTAGTTGAAGAGTACAAATACTTGGGAACCATCTGAACGTCTCTGCCAACACAGAGGAGATTCTTAGGAGGTGCCACCAACGGCTACACCTCCTTAGGAAACTCAACTCCTTTGGAGTCAGCACACCCATCATGATGACTTTTTACTATGCCTTCCTGGAAAGCATCATGACCTTCTCCATTACCTGCTGGTTCCACTCCCTCAGCCTTCAGAACAGGAACAGACTGCAGCACACTGCATCAGTGTGTTCTAAAATCATTGGCCTGCCTGTCAGAACTCTTGCACAGGTTTTCAGCCAACAGGCCCTTAGACAGGGAGCCAAAATTATTAATGACCCCTCTCACATTCTTCACCCCACATTTCAATGGCTGCCCTATGGGCGGCGCCTCCGCTGCATCTCCTGCAGGACTGAGAGGAGGAGAGCCACCTTTGTCGCCAAAGCCACCCTGATTTTTAACTCTCACACCCATAAACATAAAGACTCTTTTTTTATACCGCCGACACTTTATTCAGTTTTAGTCACTTACAGTTATTTATTCACTTATTCAGCCACTTTAATTTTAAAACTGTGTATATACTGTATATCGTTAGCTTCATAGCATAAGTGCCTAAGTCATTTTTTGGTCAAATTGAGATTTTTGCCTAACTTTACTCCCCTACCACTGCTGCATCATCCTGTCCATCTGCCTATGTCATCACAAAAAAATGACTTAGGCACTTATGCTATGAAGCTAACGATATTCTAAGTTTTTTTTTTTTTTTTTTTTATCTCACTGTTTATGCCCTGTCCTTGCAGACACACTGGTGGTCCTGTGCTGGCCCATGTGTGGATTACCTCTGGCAAACGGACTGCGGTATGTGGGTCATGTGTAAGTGGTCTGCAGCCACTGGCCAGTTGCATCACACTGCTGGTCCTGTGCTGGCCCAGAAAAGTTTCAACTCTGGCCCCAGATACCAGCCTAATGTGTTCCTTAGTCAAGCAATGTAATAACAACATGCGCCGCAACATAATAGTGCAAAAGTAACATGACAAAGCTCTGTTCAGACAGTGAATGGACTGATTCTTATATAGAGCTTTTCTACTCTCCTGAATTACTCATAGTGCTCTATGCAACATGCTACATTCACCCAATCACACACTTTCTCTAAACTGAGTGCTTCCTAACTATACACATTCGCACTCTCAACGTGCAGACTGGAGGACCCAGGGATTGAACTACTAACCTTCTGATCAGTAGGTGATAAATAAATAGTGCCATCATTGCCGGAGCTGACCAACATCTGGTTAGATACACTGGGCCACATAAACCAAACCATAATCGGGGCAGATGTGGCATGCCATCACATAAACAGTGCCATCATTGCCAGGCCTGGTCCATATCTGGATGAAATACCACTTACCATGTCAGAAGTCAGCCAGCAATGCTGGCGTGACACCAGATTCAGGCCAGATCTGTCTGCTACGTGGGTTGGGGATAAATAAAGTCTCTCTGATTCTGATTCTGAATTATACTGAGACACTGCAAAAGGTCATCCATCTCTTTATAAGTTGATTTTGAAGGTAAAATTCAACTGAAATGATGTTTTGCATATGTGAAAATGAAAAAATATGTGAAAAGAGCTGACTACATTTGAAAGTACTATTTTGCGTTAACATTAATTGTAAGGCATAGTACCAAATGTTTGGTTGCATAACCTGTGGCTTTAATAAAGTTAATGACACAAATCAGTCAATTATTTTCTGTGAATATGTTATTACCCCACAACTTGTGGGGATAGGTTAATTGGATATTCCAAATTTTCACTAGGTTTGAATGTGCGAATGAATGTGAGTGCGAATGGCTGTCTGTCCCTGTGTGTTGGCCCTGCGACAGACTGGCGACCTGTCCAGGGTGTACCCTGCCTCTCGCCCCATGACAGCTGGGATAGGCTCCAGTGCCCCCCGCAACCCTGAAAAGGATAAGCGGAAGCGAATGGATGGATATGTTATTACCACAAACGTTCATACACATGACATTAACAATAAAAACAAAATAATCAAAACTTTCTTTTTTAATGAAATACATTTTGTATAGAACCTATAAATAGGTTTTGATTGATGACATTAATCATCAAAAATAGACGAAAAAAATGAACAGGTTATAATAATAATGGATTGGATTTATATAGCGCTTTTCAAGGCACCCAAAGCGCTTTACAATACCACTATTCATTCACTCTCACATTCATACACTGGTGGAGGCAAGCTACAGTTGTAGCCACAGCTGCCCTGGGGCAGACTGACAGAAGCGAGGCTGCCATATCGCGCCATCGGCCCCTCTGGCCAACACCAGTAGGCAAGTAGGGTAAAGTGTCTTGCCCAAGGTCACAATGACCAGGACAGAGAGCCCAGGGATCGAACCGGCGACCTTCCGGTTACAGATGCGATTCCCAACCCCCTGAGCCATGGTCGCCCGCGGCTCAGGGGTTAGTTTAATAGGCAGCAATTACACAGCAGATGAAGACTGATACTGAAAAATAATATCAACATTATTCCCACAAAATAAAAACAATCCACCCTTAATGAAAATTATCTCACTTAGTCTTGTCTATTACACACTGGCCTTATGGAAAATGAGCAAATGTAATTCAGCGAGTCTTGGCGTGAACCTTGAAGGGTTCAGGCACACGTGTAGCTCCGTAAACTCCCTCTGTGCTCAGCTCCACTCCATCAGGAACAGAGAAAGTGAACTTCTGCAGCAAGCCGACAAAAAACAGGAACAGCTCCATCTTGGCGAGGCTTTCGCCAAGACAGACACGCTTCCCTGAAGAATTCACAAACACATACAAGTGCAAGTTTACAACCTGTGAATGATGTTTTTTTTTCTTGTTCAGGTTGTGCTAAAACAAAACACTCATTGTGGGTTTTACCTGCAGAGAAAGGTAGGAATGCTTCTCTCTTCACAAACTTCCCATCAGCATCCAGGAAGTGTCCTGGGTTGAAGGTGTCTGGAGTCTCCCATTCAGTCTTGTCAAACAGCACAGAGGTGAGTACAGGCAACACACTGGTACCCTAGAAAAAACCCCACAAGATAACAAAAAGATGCACTTTAACAACAACACCTGACAGAACAAACATGCAAAGCTTAAAATGTATATTGCATGCACCTTGGGTATGTGGTAACCATCCAGGGTTGTATCCTTGGCAGCAACTCTGAGTGCATTGAGAGGAACAATATTTCCCATCCTCTGAATCTCGTGGATGACGGCATCGGTGTAGGGCAGATTTGGTCTGTCAGCCATGGAAGGCTGGCGGGTTTGTCCAATCACGTTATCTATCTCTGCCTGGACTTTCTCTGTGAAGGAGAATTGAAAGAGTTCAACTTCAACTAGCCCAAGCTTCTATGGAGCTACTGAGTCCCATAAGATGATTGTTTTTAGTTTGTATCTTTTATTTAATACTCATTGACAAACTTTGGTTGTTGGATGTTAGACATGTCTAACAAATATGTCAAAGTTGTGGAAGGATTGCTGTAAAACTTTGCACTGACGCTAGTAATCTTGCAATTGTTTCATTCAATTTACTTAATGACTTAATATTCAAGTTTTGAACTTTTTAAAAAGTTTTTAAAATGTTTAGGAACAATAACACTGTTTTCCAGAAAAGTTATATAATTGTAGGCCTTTCAACGTTAACGCGTCAATGTGAATTAATCTGTCATTATGATTAATGCAATGACAATTTTTTAACATATTTCACCCATCTGGAGCACAGAATGACTCAAAATCCCCAAAAGGTCTCTGTCAACGCATTTCGGGCAGTTTGTCCAAGGTTTGTACATTCTGCGCTCCAGATGGGGGTAAATGTGGTAAAAATTTTAATCACGTTAATCGTGATGATGCGTTTGCATTGACAGAACTAGAAAATAGACTTTATTGATTCTGGGGAACAAATTTCTCTCGCGCCATTTTCAGGTTCGGATTTACATTTTCCCAACTATTAGTTTTAAACACAAATAAAAAGCATTCCATTAGTTGTACATGTGGTCTGCGTTTGCTACTGTTAGCATTTATATTAAATTGTATTAGAGCTACTAGTGTTATGTTCCAACTATTTTAAAGCTCCGGATGAAGCCCAGTACAATACCCACCCTGGATATCAGGATGTCTGATCAAGAAAACCAGAGCCCACAGCAAAGTGGTGGCTGTTGTTTCTGTTCCAGCCAGGAAAAGATCAGCAGAGCACAAAACTAGGTTGGTCTCAGTGAAGCCCAGGTCAGTTTCTTTGAGCTGTTCAAACAAATTAAAAAGTCACATTAGACATAACACAAATTGCTAATTTGTAGAGTGCAGTTTGTGCAATGCAGTGTCCACATACATTCTCCATTTTGATGAGGAAAGTGTCGATGTAGTCTCGGGGATTGTTGTGATCCAGATCCTTCTTGTGGCTTTTCACCTCCTGAGTGATGAACTCTCTGACTTTGTTAAAATTGCTGAACACTTTGTTATGAGGACCTGGCAAACGCTTCATCACTCCGGGGAATGATTCATAGAGCTTGAGATTTGATGAGAGGAAGCGTTATTCAAAGGACGATAGAGAGAAGAAATCCAACACCCATGCCACAGTGCTGTCTCTCATTCTTTTTGTGACAGAAGGAAATTATTGTGACATACCTGACCCCATATGGAGCCCTCCAGGTGAAGAATCTCAGACAGATTCTTCAGCATGAGCTGGAAGTTATGGTCACTGTAGTCAAATCTTTTCCCCATCACCAGCTGGCACGCTATATTAGACACGGCATTGTTGAAGAGGCCTGCTGGCCTAAAAAGTTTACCTGAAGACAAATAGACGATTGTTAAGAAAGCACAAATTCTTTGCTTTAGCACTGTTTGTGCAGGATTGTATGCTTATGTTCCACCTAATGTAAAGCACCTTTCTCCTGCTCTATCTCCTCCTGCAGGTATTGGATCTCCTCACAGATACACTGCTCCATGCGGTTCTTCCCCAGGCCGAAGTCTCGCAATGTAGACAAAGCGAAGCGTCTCTGTGCCTTCCATTTTCCACCGTTGCTCATGAACAGACCGTCTCAATACACACAAGCAACTTAAGAACTTAACAACCTATGGAGAATAATTTTAATACTGAATGGTACATCAAATAGTGACTTCCAAACCTGAGTTTGCCGAATAAAACCTGTCGCCCATGGGGCTGTATGGTCGATCCACAAAGTTGTCAGCTTGTGTTACCAGAGCTTCTTTTACCATCTTGTATCCAGAGACGATTACCATTTTATCCCTGCCGAAGCAGAAACTGAACACATTCCCGTAGATTTCAGCCAGCTACAAAAAACACAACAAACATGAAGGATATACCACAACATTTGTAATCTACAGAAAGAAATTAGTGGGAAGTGCTGTAATTGGAGGCTGGAAATCATGGATACTGACTATCAATCAATATTTCATCTTATCATCCATTTTCTAGAGGTACATCCAGGATTGGTTGCAAGTTTGTCACAGGGCTAACACAGACAGACAGGCAACCATTCACTTTGAGACTATGAGAAATTTCAATCAACCTAATAGTTAGCGAATGCCTTTTATTAAAGTTAAATCTAAACTTTACACTGTTGAAATTCAAGTGGACTGAAATTTACATAAATTTACATAATTAAAATTCTGGGATCCACAGTTTTTTCACATAATTGTTTGCTTGACCATATTTGAAGAAATTGCTTAGACCTACATCTGCTTATTAGCACTAAGTACCAACTCAGGGCTCGCAATATCGCTAGCCCGACGTCCCGGGACTAGCGATTTTTCCAGTCGGGCTATCAAAATCTATCTCTGCCCTGCCCGTTGGGGTATCATAGGAAGGAAAAATATATGTCAATGATTTTGCATTCTTTCGGAAATGTAGCTGGGTAGTTATGTCATTGGCATCGGTGAGCCACTGTCAATATGTGACATATTGAAATCGTTTGAATTTGCGCTTGTTTTTTGCTTCCACTTTGCAATTGCGTGAACTGTGCATAGAGAGCGAAAGTACTGATTGGTGTGTGACGATAATTTGCGCACCAATTCCTCTGACATCGTCTTATCAATCGTTAGCTTACTATGCAAACATGACAAGTGAAATCTCTGCAGCAAGCTTAAACATGTGAGAGGTTGATCGCGCAGAGAATCGCTGACCGTTATGTGTGTGCCTGTGTAAAAGCAGCAGGATATATATTT